GAGGCCGGCAGCTGGAGCTCGGCGGCGTACTGGACGGCTTCACGGACTGTTAGGCTCGTCATTAAGACGTCGTCTTGGGTCACGTAAGCCTGCGTTCATGCAATTAAGGTAGCGTACTTAGTTCGTTAATTAAGGTTTAATGGCTGAGAGAGAGGTTATTAAACTTATGGTTAGTTTACTGAGGTTCCGTAGGCGAGAACTTCCTTTCTGCCATTGATGAGGATTTCTCCGCTCTGGCGAAGGTTCGATGAGAGGCGTCCTGCGGCGAATTTAATCACTGTAATTAGCGTTTAATATTGTTTAATTAAAAGGTCAGATTTTTATTAGAGTTAAGTCTGATAAATATAATAAATCATTTTGAGATTCCGAATAACAAAAGGTCAAACGTATATTCTGATCCGATTAGTTTCAGTTCATTATCAAGGCACGATCAGCATTAATTATGATCATTTCAGATCGAATTGAAATATTTATTGCGGTAGAAGAAGTTCATCATTTTGGTACTTACAGAACCAAATAAAGTATAAGTAAATTATAAGGGGCGAGTGTCTTTTTTAAAGGAAAGTAGGAGGTGAAAATTAAAGAAGTGACTCGATTAAAATTATTGGTTATTACTAGTTATTAATTACGTGCACTTTTTTGTAATTTGAGAAAATAGTTAATGTGATGTTCATAATATTATGGACGGTAGGACTGTGTGGGGGCAGTTGCAGTTGTTTGAACAAGCAACTTTGAAGTTACTGTAAAATAAACTGTTGTTCAAGAAATTGTGTTGGATTTTACAATTTTTTTTTGTAAGTATGACCATAGTCTTTTTGCTGCAACTGCACTTAATCAGGTCACATTGTAAAACACAACTTTCTCACTACAATATCTTCAGAAGGAGACAAAATACAATTTTGCTAAATACATAAGCGGAGTAGCCACTGCCCAAAACGTGTCTTATTTCAAAAATGAATTTCACAGTAGAAGTAGAACAACTCTTGAATTGTAGTTGTCATCAGGAGACTATCAATAACATACCTAATTATTGTTTGTATTACGTGGGATAGACGAATTAGAAGCTAGATTTGTTTGATAGTGATAGTGTTGAATCACACCCAAATAATAAAGCGTAAAAAATGAAAGAGAGAAAAAGAATAATAATAATAACAATAATCGTGTCAATTGTGATGACCTTTCTCGTCTTTTTGGGCTAATTCTATTTTCTCTTGTTCACAAAAAAGATCTCTCTATTTATACATGAGAGAGTACAATATATTGATGTTACACTTTTACCTACGCTTTAATCGGGGTAGTGCAGGGCATTCTTTGTATCTTATAGAAATGAGTCTATTGGTCGACTGCACAGTGGCTAGGTCAATTGAGCTTGTTTGGTTTCAGCTCGGCTTGATCGGTTTGGTTGATTAGGCTTAGTTAGAGTTTTCGGTTGACTTAGCTTAATTGGCTTTGGGTCAGTAAGATTGATTCAATCAACAAAGTCAGTTGCATTGTCGACCCTTGATTATAGATGAAAGAGTTTATGGAATCCCTTATATGATTGGAGATGCATAGGGTGTTGGTGTTCCCTTGATTCAGCATCTTCATGCCAGTTGACTTATATGTCTTTTTCTTTTCTTTCTTTCTTTCTTTTTTTTTCAGTGCTCTATTTTTTAGAAAGACCTCCCGAATAAATTTGAATTCAACATCCTAAAATGTGTGATGAACGTTGACCATGTCGATAAAATGAAAAACTTTTCAAGTTTAGGAAATTCAAATGATAAAAAAACAAGAAATCAAAAGATGTCGGAGACATAAAGTAACAAAACATAAAGAAGACAAGCAAAAAGCAAAAAAAAATGATGACAAGACATAAATAAAGAAATGTAAGGACAAAAAGAGAAGGACAAAAGCAAAAAAGAGAGAAAAACCTCCTCACACTCCAAGGGCTAGAACAAAAAGTTTAGGGCTGTCAATGAACCAATGAATAAGTCAAACTAGACTAGATTAAGATTCAATCATGTTCGTTCAAATTAGCAAATAAACAAGCTTGAACAATTTATAGAAGCTCGAAACTTAAATGAACTAGACCTGAACATAATCAAACTTGTTCATTTATGTTCACGAACAAACTTGTTTGTTGTTCAACATGTAATTTATTAAACACTCGCTATTAAACTCAATGATAGTTTATATGATATATTATTTAAATTAACTTATTTGTTGTTAGTTCAATGATACGATATAATATTTATATATCATATATGATACGAGCTATCATCGAGCAACCACGAACTTGCAGGACCAACGACTTAGGTCGGCCATACGAAGGACCACCCGAACGGGTGACTCTTAATTAACAGAAGTCTATATAAACACCACCAAACTTGTTGGCCGCCTTTTGGTCAGCTACCTCTCCTCCGACAGATCATCTAGGGGTCGGCCGTCTCGCTGCTGCGACCGGTCAACAAGGCTGACCAACTATTAAAAATAGAAATTTACATAAATAGCACTCAAATCTTGTCGGCCGCTTTGCTTGCCCACCGACCACCTCCCACTTCGTCTAGTCATCCACTGGACAAATGCCTTGCTGCTCTAATTGGCCAACACTTAAAGAAAGAAATTTACATAAATAGTACCCAAACCTTGCGGGCCACCTCAACTGTTCGCTAGCTGCCATACTCCCCCTCCGACCAGCCACCCACTTGTCGGTCGCCTAACTGCTCCGACTGACCACTTCGTTGCTCAGGTCGGCTAACCACCAATCGAGTTGGCCACCTCTCAAACCGAAAATTTACATACAGGGGCACATATGTTTGAGCAGGACAAAAGAATGTATCTCTTATTGCCCCTCTCGAAACATGGGCACATATGTAATTTTCTCTCTCTTCTCTCTTCTTTGTATTATTAGAGGACACCTTGGATGTAGAAGGGGTCTCTTAGGCTCTCTCCCTCCTCCTCATGTAGAGAGTTTGCTCGTATTTTTTTTTCTTTTATAAACTCACTTGTGTGGAATAGGAGGGACCACAAAACTCGGGGACCACCCTACTTTGCCCCCAGATGGGACAACTCTCACTCTTTCTCTCTCCCTCTCCTTCTCCACCCCTAAATCCGGCTCTATGCATTGGGCACGGTTCAAATGATAAATTTGAATTCAATGTATGCATAGCTTTATTTATTATTATTATTATTTTTACCACAATTTATTCCAACCGCGTATTCAATAATTATACTATTTTATAAACTATGACTAATAATATGGTATTCAATCCAATTATTTAGAAAAAAAAAAAAAAGATTACAACCGAAAATTTAATTAATAGTGACCTCTTCTTTGAATAATACTAAAAATTAATAGTCGTCTTTTCTCTATTTTATGACTATAATAATAATTTTTAAGATCTTAAAAATATTTGATGAATTTATTAAAGCAAAAAAATAACAATAATAACAAGAAGTAAAATCAAGGTTACCAGCAAGCGAGTCCAGGAGTGTTGACTTGCCGCCACCGGATGGGCCCATAATCGCTAGGACCTCTCCGGGCCGGGCCAGCCCAGTCAGACCCGAAAGCACCGGCACACGTTCTCCTTTCCGGCCCGAAACGAAAACCCATAAATCCTCCCATGTGAGGAACACGGCGGCGGTTTCCGTCGACGAAATCGTACTCCTCTCGCCGGAGTTATCACCTCTGCGGCGACTGAGCAGAGGGGAAGGGGAATGGAACAGGCCGCTAAATGGAAAGGCTGGGCTTCCGCCGGAAAGCTGGATGTTGCCGTCGGTCTCGTTGGTTGGACGAGATGGGCTTGGAGTCCATCTGAGAACGTTCGGCGGAGAAGCCATAAAAGGTTGGAAAGAATGTGAGATGCTAAACTCGATTTATAGTGGGATGGGGGCAGTTGTTCACTCCATATATATATAATTTTAAATGCCGAAACTACATAACTTTGGAGTAATAGATATATGGAGGGATCTATCCAGATATCATTGTTTTATAACTACATGTGGGTGTGTCGCTATCTATGCGTACAAACTTGATGACTAAAAGTTTGCTAAAGTTTTAGGGTCATTTTGGGTCGGCTGGCCGGACTCGAAATTGACCCTATACGAATAGATCTGACTTGTGCCCAGCTCTTTTTCAATCTGCTGGCCCGAATCCAATCTGTTTATGTAAGGAATAACGGCTACTCAGGTTTAATCAGGACATTTTCAAGTTAATTCGTGATTGACTTGTTGATTTCAATTCAATTTAAGGTTTATAGGTCATTTTCAAGTTGGGGGTCATCCTAAACCCAACCTAAAAAAATTAATTGGGTTAGAAAATTTAACTCAAACCCGACCTGAAAATTATTCATATCAACATGAATTCATATTTTTCGAGTCATTTTCGGGTCGAGTTGGCTTGTTGAGACAAAAATTTTCTCTGTTGCATTGGTCCTCTTCTTTGAAGAGGAAAGCTTCTTGCATATAGGAGTGAAGTAAACTTCACCGGATCGAGGTAGGAGCTTAGAGCAAGCCGAGAGCACGCTACTGCAACCGTCACAAAGGAATAATGTCTTCAATCCCTTGCAAAATTTTTTTTTTCTAGCAAACCTGCTAGGTCTGGTCGATAATGAATTAAGGCTAGTATTTTTGGATTAGAGGAAACTGCTAGGTTATGGAACTTTTGCGTTGATTTGCCCCTACAAATATGAGAGTTTTTCCCCTAAAATTTTTGCACATCTGTTCTAATTAGCTAGGAACCTAGCACCCACATGATTCATCGGTGGCTTCATCCCTCGATGAATGGTTGAAGCTACCTTGAATTAGAGAACGAAGAAATCCTTTGATACTTATTCCCTAGACTGCGAAGGCTATGTTCACGAGAGAAACCTTCTTTTTTCGTGAAGAATTTTTTTTCCCAGAAAAGTTCCTTTGCACTTTGCCGAATAATTAGAGGTAGGTTTTCCGTTACGTTATGTAACGAACAACATCTACAACTTCACCCTCACCATAGGACCTATTTGAGATCGCTAGGATCGTTTCGACTTACCAGTAAAACGTGATTGTGTATTTTTTTTTTCATTGCATGAGATCATTTATTTATAATTTAAATTTTAAATTGTTAGTTTTGTATGCTTTTCAATTCGGCTGCCTGCTTTAGGCTGGTTCGACCGTCCACCCGGCATGGTTCAGTCTGATCGACTGTCCCTCATTGGATGCCTTAATTGATCAACTGATATCGTCCGACTCGATCGACTATCCCTTGATGGATGCCTTGGTTGGTCGACTGATATCGATCGGCTCGGCCGCCCGCTTTATGCTAGTTTAATAGGTTGTCTGGTATTGTATGTTCGGATTGGCTTTCCCTTGTCAGGCACCTTGATCGGTGGACTAATATCGATCATCTCGGCTGCCCGCATTGGGCTTACTCGATCGGTCGCCCAGTATCATTCGGTCTGATTGGTTGTCCCTTATTGGACGTCTTGATTAGTTGATTGATATCAATCGGCTCAGCCAGTCGCTTTAGGCCAACTTGACCGCCGCCCGGTATCATCCTCTTTATGATTAATAAAGTATTTAGAATAGATTTATATTCTTTAAAAAATTATAATAAATTAAAAATTTGAGTAGATAAATGGTACTTTATCGTTAATCTCTTCACAAACGCTTTAATAGTTCATAAAATATTTGAAGATTGCTGTTCGTTATTTTTACAGAATTTTCAAAAACTTTATCCCTATTTATTCGATGCGAAAATGTCAAATTATCACCATCATTAATATCATTATGAAGTCACCATCAATGGCCAAGCGTGAATGCCACATCAGCTGGGCCTTCATTTATACATACCACACAATTTGTATTTATTTACATTTGCTAGAGCCGTGCATTAATATTTATTTTTATGTCACTTAAATTTTTAACTTTTTCACTAAAAAAACCATCACTATTTCCATCTATGAAAAAAAATACATACTTTCATGTATAATTTTATGACACAAAAATGTCATAAGAATAAATATCAAACTTTAAATATTAAACATGTAAATAAAATTTTTGTGATATATATTTAATTTTCCTTTTATTCATGAATGATTGTTTATATTGAACACAATAATTATGTGTAAAATAATAAAAATCTTATAATTCACTTTGATAATAATTTTTATAATGAAAAAAATACATGTTATAATCAGGTGTGTCAAAAGGTACGCAACTGTAGAATAATGAATTATCGTCTTAGAGTTACATGAAAATCTAACATACACTCAGGTAATTAAAAAGAAATAAACACGAGAAGAAACCTCAATTTATACATGGAAAAACTTTGATAAGGGGAAAAAATTACATGGCTTAGTCCAAGTGAAGTAATTCACTATTAATAGTTAGTACATATATTCATTCTTTTCTTGAATTAAAGAACATGAAGTTACAAAGTGGATTATTGTAAATGTATAATAATAGTTCTTCGATAATAGTGTATTCTGGTTGTAATTGGTGTTATTTTTGATGATAACATGTTGTAAGGGTCGTAGTTGATTGCTATGAAGATAAGAATTTGTTGTGAATGTTATGGACGATGGTTGGGGCGCTAGCTTGGCGTCAGTTAAAAGCTGTGGTAGTAGTTGGTCGTGCGGGCTATAGATGACTCTTTAGAAGTATTGATTGAACATAGAGGACATAGTTTAAAGTTATAGAAGCTGTGAGTCATATAGATCGTAGTTAGTCATGTAGGATATAGTGGTTAGTTGTGATAATGTTGATTGGTCTTATATGCTGAAGTTGAGAGTTGAATGAGTTGTGCATCACATAAGTCGTAGTTGGTCATGCATGTCATAACAGTGAGTTGTGATGTCGTTTGTAAACGTAAAGGCCAGAGTTGGGAGCTACATGACTTGTGGACCTCCTAAGTTTTAGTTGGTCACAAAAGCTGCTATGGTGAATTACGGTAACGTTCATAAGTTGTAGAACTGGACCTGGGAGTTGCATGAACTAGGAGTCACATAAACCGTTGTTGATGATGTAGGCAGTAGTGGTGATCTGTGATAATGTTCGTAAGCCTCACAAGCCACATTCAGGATATGCAGAAGTCATGGACCATGTAGGCTTATTAGAACATATATAGGCCTAAAGGGTCAGTCATAAGCTATGATGATGTTTGTAGACTGTAGGAGTTGAAGCTGGAAGCTAAGCAAGCTATGGACCACATGTGTTGTAGTTGGTCAAATAGGTCATAGTTGTGAGTTACAATGTCGTCCATTGGCCGTAGGGGCTAGAGTTGGGGGCTAAACGAGTTATGATCTACGTAGGTCCTAGTTCGTCACGTAGGTCATATTGGTGAACCTTGATGAAGTCTGTAGGCCATAAAGGCCAGGGTGGGGAGCTGCAAGAGTTGTGGAACACGTTGGTCGTAGTTGGCCACACTGACCATAGTGGTGAGCTGCAATGTGTTGTTTCTAGGCCACAGAGGCCGGAGTCAGGATTTGTGCTTACGTTCGTAGGCCGCGAGGACTGAAGTTAGAAGCTATATGAGTTATGAACTACTTAGACCATAATTGGTTATGTTGGTCGTAGTGGTGGACTGAAAAGAGAGAGCTTTAGGAGTCTGGAGAAAGTCATCATCTTTGGGGTGCATTGTTACACCGTCTTTGGGATACATCATTTGAAATATGTAGGATGTGTTGTTATACCGTCACCAGGGTGTTTCATTGCACCGTATTTGGGTTGTGTTGTTTCACAGTCTTCGAGGTGCATAGTTGCATGGTGTACTTTGACAAAAAATTGTTTCGCTAAAAAGACCTTTATATTCTCTCCGTAAGCCTTACTCTCTTCTGCTTTCTCTACACAGGAATGCACACTGAAGTAGCATGCCGAAGGAAACCCAACGGAGAGCACGAACATGTGATTCCTTCCCTTCTTCCGTAAGCTAAACTGAAGGAATACCTCACCTTGGTTCGGTCACAAGAGACAAATCCCGATTCCAACTGCAGCGATACAACCAGGCGAGGCGGGATGCAACGAAGACGGGAGCAGTTTCTTTTAAGAGCGGGAGCAAGAGTTGTTACGTCATTTTATTTTTATTTTATTTTTTTTTGTTTTTGTTGAACGGGCTCCACACCAACATATTTCAATAAACCACAACAGGTGCTTCATTGTTCTACAACATATGCTGAGATTCTAAAATGCACGTTGTGACTCCATAAGAAGTCGTAGGAATCCATCAGATCTTCGGTGCGTAAACGATGCTAAGCTTCAACTCCTTTTCTCCAAGCTCCGGTCTTTTTTTTGGTTCTAGATCCCTTCCCCACTCTCTTGGAATAAGGATTTTTTTATAGAGTTTAGGCTGTATATACGAAAGAAATCAAGAACACTTTGATTTGACAGCCTTAGGAGATTCCCTCAATCAGATGGTGCTCTGTGGACATTCAAGTGTTTTAATTATTTCAAAATTGAGTGATTTTGGGCTCATTAATTTCATCTTGTTGAGTCACACGATTTGATTATAAATTTATGAGATTTGATGATCTGTTTGACAAGCTTCCAAAAATATTTTGAAGTATTGATATGAGCTTGATTTGACTCAAACTAGACCTATCATTGGCTCCGTATCATCTAGCCAGACAATTTGACAATAAATTTATTGATAGCAAAATTCTGGATGATTTTTAATTGTACTTTGAATATATATATTTGTAAAAAGTTTTGAATTTTGTGCCAATCATCTCAAAATTCGTTCCACACCTCAATATTCATGCCCAATGACAAATTCGTTGATAACCAACCTATCAGATAATATATAAATTCGAAGGACTCACGTAAAATAAAAATCAATCAATATATCATATATTACGATTACCAGCAAGGGAGTCCAGCA